AGGAGCAGCAGTAGCAGTAGTAGCAGTAGTAGCAGTGGCAGCAGCAGTAGCAGTGGCAGTAGCGTGCTCAGAGTGGTAGTGCCCAGAGTTCAGCGATGAGCTTTGGCCAGGTTATGAACATGTGGTGGACGTGTGGGAACAGGCTTGGCACGAATCGATCGTGGGTTGGTTCGGCTTTGGTGCCGACCTTCAGACGGTGGTGATCGCAAGCTGGGCCATGCAGATCCTGCAATAGGACGAATGTTAATGAGTAGGTTTTTGTCATTTTTTTTGCAGTAATGTTTGCAGGGTAGATGCTCTCGAAGGCATGGGGGCCCAGAGCGTAGGGTAGCATGAAGCATGTTTTCTCCGGGCTGTGACAGCATAGGCAAATGGTTGTCTATGCATTGTATGGTATGCCAACGCGATGTCTCCGATTCGAGTGCCAAAGCGAGAAGAACGGCTACGATGTCATATGCTCTTGCTTGGGCAACTTGGTTCAAATCGGAGCTTCGAAACTTGTTGTTCCTTTTCAAGCTACAACTAGCGGCCTGGTGTAAAACGCTGTTTTTTGCTACTTTAAAGCTTCGTCCTGGGGCGTTGGGCGGGGTGGGGGGTGGGGATGGTCACAGGCATGTTTGAGGTTCGGGTGGTGGTGGGGGATGGGTGCAGGCATGTCTGTGCTACTCACCTTCCCAAACTTTGAACAGAAGCCTTACACAAGCCATACAAACACAACTAATCCTCTTGAGTATTGTCCCTGGCCCCTGTGCTACTAGTCTTGCCAAGCTCTAAACAGAAGCCATGCAAACACAAATTATCCTAATGTTGCCAGAAATGGAATACAAGCCATGGTAACTCGAAACCCCCCATATATATGTATATATATATATATATATTATATATATACACACATACATACACACCCTTCGGTAAGGTGGAAAGCTGTGTGTCCTTCCGGCGCAGCTTCTGTCTTAGCTACCGAACCGGCGTGCGAGGACCCCAAGAGTAGCGCGCAAACTTGGTCTCTCAACCTCTCGTCCTTTCTCCGAGAGGGATGTCCTGACATAAATGCCTCAACAATCCCGAAACACAACACCGAAAAACCAGCGAAAATCAAGCAAACGTACCCTTGACATGAAGACCTGGAAACAATGAACACGCTGGCAGACGTGTCAACAACACACCACATTCGAACCAGGTGATATCCTGAACAATAAATCACTCCAAAAACACCTCTCTCAACTTGTGAGAGCTGCCATTGGGCCATGCGTGGGTTAAAATCACGATTCCTAGTGCAAAACGCCTGCGGCCCCTAACAGTGGTTTGACCTTGTTTCTTCTTGGCTTTTTGCCGTTTCGCTGGGGGAACAATCCCATCTCAGGAACGATGTGGCACGCAGACGCCATGAAGGCACGTCAAGCAAGCTGACAGGTTTCCAGCATTGTCCTCAACCCGTAACCCTGAGCCCAAGAGTTTATGTGCAAGTCTCAGACGTTGCAGACGCGGTGGGGGCATCTTCTCGCGACGTAGGTTGCACCCTTTGGGAATTCCGTCGCGGTGTATTCGGTCACCCTAAACCCCAAACCCTTACTCGCAAAATGGGAATCCTAACCTGACTGGTCCCGGCCAAGTAGCGTCCACTGGCGCCTAAACAAACCTGGAACGATTCATGCTCGACACCCCTAAACCCTAAACCCCTCAACCCTAAACCGTAAACCCTAAGCCTTAAACCCTAAACCCCTAAACCCCAAACCCTAAACCCTAAGCCGTGCACTCCGAGCTCGAACCATGAGGATGTAGGGCTATGGGCCCTTAAGGGTGTATGTTTATAGCCAAAAAGTACCGCAGGGCTCTATGCTAAGAATCAAACCCTAAACCGTTGCACCCTAAACCCTAAACCCTTTGTATATGACACCTTAGACCCTCAAAGCTTAAAAACGTAGCCTGAACCCAATTCCCGCAATCGAACACCCCAAACCCTCTGTCTTACGTAACAGCAACCCTGAAACCTGCGCAGCACACTTCTAGAACCACGGCCCCAAGAGCCCCCAAGCCCTAAAGTCGTACTTCGAAAACCTAAGCCCTGAAATCCTTAAGCCCGAAAGCCTTAAAATTGCCAGCCCGAAGCCCTAAACCCTGACCCTTGAAATCCTGAAGCCCTACAGCCCTAAGGCCCTAAACCCTAAAGCCCCTGAGCCCCGAGACCCTAGAACTTGAGAGCTTTGAACAAAAAAGCCTAAATAATTACCAATATGATTCCTCAGGGTTCCTTATTATGACTACACAGCCGTTAGAGCCGTTAGAGTTTGGGGTTTTTGGGTTTAGGGTTTTTGGGTTTCGGGTTTAGGGTCTAGGGAGTATGACTATATACAAAAAGAAAGGAGCCCAAAACCCCCATTCTAATCAAACCCTAAACCCTAAACCCTAAACCCTAAACCCTAAACCCTAAAACCTAAACCCTAAACCCTAAACCCTAAACCCTATATTAGCTCAGCTCTGCAGGCGCTAGCCGGCTCCAACAGGATGCCCCTGCTGCCTCTTGGCTCGGCTGCTGTTGGGGACTGGAGGCTCTGGTTTAGGGTTCCTTAAAGGGTTCCTTAAAAGGGATCTATAGGATCTATAGGGTTTTGGGGTTTTGGGATTTAGGGGTTTAGGGGTTTAGGGGTTTAGAGTTGAGGGGTTTAGGGGTGTCGGGGTTTAGTGGGTTTAGGGGTTCAGTGTTTCGGGTTTAGGCTTCTAGGGTTTCAGGGTTTCGGGTTTAAGGCTTACCGCTTTGTGCGCAGAGTCTGGGGGCTTTGGCGTTCAAAGAATTGGGCCTTGGGACTCCAGGGTTCCAACGGTCATCTGCAGCTCCCGGGCGGCTTTAAGGGGGGGGATCGCCGGGTTTCCGGGCTCCAGATTTCGGGCCGTGGGCGCCCTAAACCCGAAAAGCTCGTGATTCCCCATCGTCTAAGGCAATGAACTTGAACTGAGCTCCTAGATTCAAACCCAAAACGCCCTAAACCTTAAACCCTAATGTTCTAGAGTCAGTGACCTAAAAACCCCTAAACCCTAAAGCGCTAAACCCTAAACTAAGGCTTAGGCTTGCGTCAGTCGCGGACACCGTCAGCTCCAGCGAACCCAAGACCTGAAGCCCGAATCCTTACGGTTTAGGGTTTCTGGGTTCCTGTTGGCTACAAGTTGACATGTTTGTGATAATAAAGCCCAAGAAGGGTTGAAAATGATCACTTCAAAGAAAGCCCCAACAGGGAACCCAGGTTTAGGGTTTTGGAGTTTAGGTTAAATTCCTAAGCGAACACTCAACCCCAAACCCCGACATCAAATCCTAAGTTCTAATCCCACGACCGCAAAGCTTAAATCCCATATCCTAAGTCCTAAACTCGCAGACCTAAAGCTTAAGTCTTGAATCCTAAACCAACCGAACCTGTGGCCCTGAAGCCCCAAAGGCTTTAGTTCACTTGAAGCAGCCCTTAAAGGATTCCTTCCAGCTAAAAGTCCCTACTCCCTAAACCTAAACTTTTTCTAAACCCTAAACGCTAGCCAACCCCCCCCCCACAAAAACAAGAAAAGAAACAACATTTTGCTTCGTACATCCCCACCCTACAGATAGTGCATTTGGGGGCCACACCACTGACTGGCGTTACGGTCGTCCCGACTGGCGATACGGACATGGGATCCCCATACACGTAACAAAGAACATGTTCGATTCAGGTCGGTGGACGATGCATGGGGTCACACCAGTGACCGGCGTTACGGACATGGGGTCCCCGTACACGTAGCAAAACACGAGGTCATTCGACGATCCATGGGGTCTCACCACCGACTGGCGCTACGGTCGTGGGTTCCCCGTACAGGTAACAACACTCGAGCCTTCGATCCAGGTCAGTCGACGATCCATGGGGTCACACCACTGACCGCCGTTGCGGTCGTGGGGTCCCCGTACACGGAGCAAAACACGAGTGTTCGATTCAGGTCATTCGACGACCCATGCATGCGGTCACACCACTGACTGGCGTTACGGGCGTGCACATACCAAAACACTTGTTCGATTCAGGTCAGTCGACGATCCATGGGGGCACACCACTGACTGGCGTTTTGGTTCTGGGGTCCCCGGGTTGGGCACTCCAGAAAATCCAGGGGGTCTTTCACGGCAGTCTTTTGGGTTGGACACTCCAGGAAGTGTCACGGTAGTTGTGGGGTTGGGCACTCCAGGGAGCCTCACGGTATTCTCTGGGGTTGGGCACTCACGGTGGTCTCTGGGGTTGGGCACTCCAGGGAGTCTCACGGTAGTCTGGCACTCCAGGCAGTCTTTGGAGGTAGTCCGAGCGGGCGAGGAGCGGACGAAGAGCTGGCGGGAATAAAGCCTGACTTTAAAATCTAACAACCCCACACCGAGGGTGGGGAACAACCTGAAGCCCTAAAAGTCCCCTAAACCAAGGCAGATGGGTCAGCTCGAGCTGTGCCTGCTCCGTGCCGACGAGTTTCTCCAAGAAGCGGAGCCGAACTTTGCAAGGCCGCACGGAGAGTAGCTGAGGGTTTAGGATTTTGGTTCAGGGTTTTGGGTTTAGGATTTAGGATTTGGGGTTTATGATTTGGGCATATTTGGGCTGTGGTAATTTAAGGTTTAGTCGCTTGTACTTCAAACCTTAACCCTCAAAACATTATCGCAGCATTCTCCAAAATCCGGATCTTTTGAATATGTTGTGTGTTGGGATCGAAAATTGGATTCGATAGTTGGACTCATTTCAGGTTTTGGGGTTAGGAATGCTGGAGGATGTAGGCTCGATGCTTCAGGATTAACACTAAACCCCAAACCGTTCGATCCAAAACCGAAGACGCTAAACCCCAGACCTTAAACAGAGGGTTGGGTAGTCAAGGGTTGTGGGGTTTAGGGCAAAGGGGTTTGGGTTTAGGGTGCCGTCCTGATCCTATGTTGTGGGCGCCGCCGTAGGCTTCAGGATTCTATCTGTCTCTTTTTTGGGATGCATGGTTGTGGGTTTTAGGGTTTAGGGCTTGCAGAGTTTATGGGTTCGAGATGGATGTAGGTTGTAGGCTAAGGGTGCCCTAAACCCTAAATCCTTAACCCTAAACCCTAAACCTAAAAGCATAGAAACTTTATTCAAAACGGATCCTGAACCAGGGCTCCCTAAGTCCGGGAACCTTTCCCTCCAAGAAGCTTGCGGGTCTAGGGGTCTTGCGGGCTTAGATTTGGGACCATGCTGTTTTTGGGGGTGGGGTTTAGGGTTTAGGGTTCAGGGTTCAGGGTTCAGGGTTTAGGGTTTAGGGTTTAGGGTGGGTTACTGGGGGCTCTTTTCCCAGCGGGGTTTTGCTTTGGCAGTGTGAGCAGTTGTCGGTCTGCAGGGCGAGAGGGGGAAGGACGAGCACCGGCGATGAGCACAACGTAAGGGTTTGAAACCATACGAATACTTGTTTGGGGCCTTTGAATTTAATTTAGCTGTAGTATCATATACCCCCCAAAGCCATGTTCGAATTATCATGGCGCTTATATGAATGCCTATGACGGTTTAATGGCATGCTGATCTACGGAACCGCCTATCCGAATTGCCCAGAACCCCTTAACCCCAAAGCCCTAAACCCTACAACCCTAAACTCTAAACCCTGCAATCCGTGGGATCCCTAAACCCTAATCCCTAAAAGCCTAAACCCTAAACCTAATTAAACCCTAAACCCGAAGCTCTAAACCTAATCAAACCCTAAACCCTAAACCTAATTAACCCTAAAGCCTAAACCTTTAAACGAATTAAACCCTAAACCCTAAACCTAATCAAACCCTAAACCCTAAACCTAATGAAACCCCCTCAACCCGAAGTCCTAAGCCATTATGAGGTACTACGCCGTCCTGAAGACCGAGCTGCGACTGCTCCTTTTGCGGATTGTGCTGGTTGGTTGCTGTGTGACTTGGAAGAAGAGTTTTGGAGTTTTAGAGGTTTTGGGGTTTTAGGTTTGGGGTTTAGAGTTTAGGTTGGTTGTTGTGTGACTTGGAAGAAGGGTTTTGGGTACAGGGTTTAGGGTGTAGTGCAGTGATCTGAATACGTGTAAATCGTATTCCTTAGTGTTCCGTAGATTTTTTTGTAGTCTGGGTTGCTGTGGCATGAGGTCGCTGTTCAGTAAAGCTGTACCTGCATCGTCGTCGTTTAGGGCTTAGGATTTAGGTGCGTGATCCCGCTGATAACTGAGGTGAACTGTTCGAAATTGGAGATTCAGTCCACGATGTTTGCTCTGAGTCGGGCTGGGAAACGAACTGGCATACAGAGAGCAGATGCAGAAGAACTGTTGAGCCTTGCCGTGGCGCATTTCACTTCTCTGTTTGCCCTGCATGTGGCCCTGGCGAGTGTTTTGGACCTGACGGCAGGAATCAAGAAAGCCAGAAGGTTGCAAGAGGAGAAACAGGAGAAGCAGACAGCTACCATGGTAGCCGAGATACGCTGGCTCCTTCGATTTGTCTACGGCTGCGTTGCCATTTGTGTCGTTACACAATGCCATTGTGTAGCCAAGCTTATTGCTGCATTTGTTTGCGAGGACTCAGTTTGGGATTTTCCCATGCACTGCGTCGACCTTCACTCTACTGCTCCAAAGTTGTGACAAGTATGCGAACCCAGAGATCCCAAAGCACTTTAATTACGGAATATACCTTGAAGTATAGGGGCCTTAATATTATGATTTAAGGTCTATTCCGTGATGAAGGGGTATAAGGTTCTCTGCGGAACCGCATGCTTTGCCATGTGAGCAAAGGCAGACTGCTGCAGTTCGCCGGGTCCGGATGAAGAATAGGCTCCAAAATCCAGCTTCCGTCAGGATCTCCTGATGAAAATGATGTTTAGGGTTTAGGGTTTAGGTTTTAGGGCTTTAGGCTATAGGGTTTAGGGTTTAGGGTTTAGGTGTTTAGGGTTTAGGGTATCTCACCTGGAGTTCGCCCGTTTCCAGCTTGATCCGGACCCCAGACCTTGGAAGGAAGCAGTTGCCCGCCAAAAGGTGGCGCTGCAACAAGGATTCTTGGCCATAAAGACGCAAAATGAAAGCCTAAACCCTAAACCCTAGACCCTAGACCCTAAACAAAGCCATGCGGGGCTGGGTTTCAGCCAAGGCTTTGGTGGCGAAGCGAAGGTTTCTCAGCACAGGGGGGGTCATCGGGGCCTGCATTAGGCGTTCTTGCGCCAGGGGGATGTTATTTTATCTAGGCTTCTAAATGTGGGTCCATTGTCCCTAACCCCTAAACCCCTAAACCCTTAAACCCCGAAACCCTAAACCCTAAACCCGAAACCGTGTGCTCTGAAACCATCACCCGTCTCCTGTCCTCTGGCGCTGGCTGGCCCAAAGAGAGAGCCCGGAAGCGGAATAGCCATTGTGAGCACCAGCAATGGCCAGGACCCACGTGCTCGGCTCGTGATGCTTAGGGTTTAGGGGGTTCAGGGGTTGGGGGTTCAGGGGTTGGGGGTTCAGGGGTTGGGGGTTCAGGGGTCTAGGCCCTAGTTAGAGTCTATGGGTTCAGGGGTTTAGGGGTTCAGGGGTAAGGGGTTTAGGGGTTTAGGGTTTAGGGGTTTAGGGTTTAGGGGTGTGATGTTTAGGGTTTAGAGGGGTTTCCTTCAAAGGGTTCCTTAAAAGGGATCTATAGGGTTTAGAGGGGTTGGGGGCTTAGGGGTTTAGGGGTTTTAGGGGTTTTAGGTTTAGGGTTAGGATTTTTGGGGTCTAGGGTTAGGTCTTTAAGTTGGGGTCCCCTCTAGGGCTCCTGAAAGGGATCTATGAAGGGTTTCTTTCAGGGTACTCGAAGGGTTCTATGTGAGTGGTTCTCTAAATTAGGGTCCCCTTCTAGGGTCCTGTTTATAAGGGTTTAGGGTTTAGGGTTTAGGGTTTGGGGTTTAGGGTTTAGGGTTTAGGGGGGGACCTATAACGGGACCCTAATTTGGAGAAGTAGCCACTGACTGGAATGGAGGTTTCTCAATCTTTGCTTTCCGCTGTTCGGGGTTCCAATCATAAGGACCACGTAACTAAAATGTTAGCAGGAATAGGTAGTAATGCTGTTCCTCATGGTAGTTTTCTAAGCCCTAAACCCCTAAACCCTAAACCGTTGTGACTATACCGTAATAACGCGCTATTCTATTCTTTAAGGCAAGGCCCCTGTACTGAACCCTGATAGGAGACGTCGACCCTTCTGGTAACCGTTGTAGAACCCTTCAGGGAACCCTTCAGGGAACCCTCTCATGAAAGCTCCGATGATTCTGGGGTTAGATCCCTAACCCCCGAAACCCCTAAACCCCTAAACCCCGAAACCCCTAAACTCCGAAACCCCGAAACCCCTAAACTCCGAAACCCCTAAACCCTAAACCCCTAAGCCGTAAACCCTAAACCCCCCCTAAACGTCCAAACCCCTAAACCCTAAACCCCTAAACCCTAAACCCTAAAAGCCCGACCGGAAGGAACAAGAAGCAAGAGATCGCCCAGCTTCGGCGAGAACTGGCAGGGGAGCGTCTCGTGCCCCTCACGCGGCTTGCAGGCGACAGTGGCACCGCCACTCGGCTTTGCCTTGCTTGGGGTTTAGGGTGTCTAGGGTTTTGGGGATTTGGGGGTTTGGGTTTAGGGGTTTAGGGTTTTGGGATTTAGGAGTTTTGGGTTTTGGGTTTAGGCTTCAGATTTCACAGTTTAAGATTTAGTTCAAAGTTCAGGATGTCGGGGCTTAGCAGGTGACAGTGGAACAGCCGCGCATCCACGACTTCATAGTTTGGGGCTATGCTCTTCGTCCTTCTTCCCTACATCATAGGTGAGAAAATTGATCTAGAAGCCGAACTTCCGAAGCCCCAAACTGGAAACCCAGTACCGTGGTTATTAGAACTTGGAACTGCTATATGTACCACTACCTCCTCCTCCTCCTCCTACTACTACTCCTACTACTACTACTACTACTACTCCTACTACTACTACTACTACTACCACCACCACCACCACCTGAACCTCTCAGCCTTTAAGCTATGAAGTGTTGGCGTTTTGTCACGACTCTAAAAACTAGCCCTCCGGGTTCACACAGCTCTGCACAAGGGCTGAGACGAGCTTTTAGGCATTTGCTAGGTTTCTATGGTCACGTGTAAGGTCCTTCACATATGGTTGATGATATAAATCCTGTTATTACCCATAATAAGGAATTTACCATAATTCCCATAGTGTAAGGCCCAAGTAACCCCAAAGCGCTAAGCCAAAACCCTCAGCTGGCGACCCTGTCACCTTAGAACCTCCAACTCCGTACAGTCTAGGCCCTTCATAAGTAGAAGAGGCTCCTCTTTGGGTTTCGAGAAGGGTTACTACAAAAGCCCTAAGCCGCAGTCCAAACACTGGGCTCTGTCCCGATATAGTGCGTCAGGGCTGTCTCTCTTAACTCTCTAGACGTACAAGCCTCGAGGCCCCAGACAACAAAAACCCGAACCCTAAACCCTCAACCCTAAACCATAACCCTAAACCCTAAACCCCTAAACGCCTAAACCTCTAAACCCCTAAATCCCTAAACCTTTCGAGCTCAGGACGATGGAGAGAGGAGGCACCAACTCGTCTGGCAGAATTTCCGGATTAAGGATCCTTCGGCTCAATTTTGGGGCATTTAGGGTTTAGGGGTTTAGGGGTTTAGGGGTGTAGGATTTAGGGATTAGGGTTGAGGATCTTGTAGGGATCCTTGGGCTCAATTTTGGGGGGTTTAGGGTTTAGGGTTTAGGTTTAAGGCTAGGGTTCAGGGTTCGGGGCTTAGGGTTTAGGGTTTCCTTGGGCTCAATTTTTGGGCGTGCAAACCGCTCACTCCCAACCGTGAACTCTAGGGTTTAGGGTCTAGGGTTTAGGGTTTAGGCTCTGGGGTTTAGGGTTTAGGTTTTAGGGTCTAGGATTTAGTGTTGAGAGTTTCGGGTCTAGGGTTAAGGGTTTAGGGTNNGGTTTAGGGTTTAGGGCTTGCAGGCCACATCGAATTTGCAGAAGCAAGACTCCTCAATCAAGGATTCGTCCCTGTTCGGGATCCTGTCATAGATTGAAGTAGATTGCTTAGTCGCACCATACTGGAAAAGGTGCCGTGGCTTTGCCAAACATGATCCTTTGCTCCGTTGGGCCAAGCCAAGCCTTAGCTAAGCGTCTTGAACCTAGCATCCGCCGGCTCAGATACTATATAGACGCCTGCGTACTTCCCAATGTTATTCCCTAGGGCCCCTTAGTATTCTATACTATTATAGCCCCCCAAAGTATAATGATAAAGGCCCCTTATTTGCATGTTATTTCTAGGGCCCCTTACTGTGAGTATACTACCGTCTACTATAACCCCCCCCAAAGCCCATTCTATATTGCATCACCCTGAATCTCTCTGGCTACAAGCGGATCTAACAACCGCTTGCTTGAAAAGCAGTGTATACCCAAGAATTTCAAAACCCTGAAACCCTAAACCC